CTCATATCCTCATCATCCTAATCTACGTAGATGATATACTGATAACAAGTAACAACATAATACAAGTTTAGAATATTATTAAAAAATTAGGATGTTTGTACTCAAGGATGTTGGTGATCTATATTATTTTCTCAAGCTCAAGATGGTTCATAACAACTTAAGAATTTTTATTTACCAAGGCAAATACATTGAAGATCTATTGAAAAAGTATGACATGTTGTATGTTACACCATATAGCACTCCCATGACAGGTGGAAAAATCCTGGATGCCACTGGTAGACAAGGAATAGAGGATGTAACAAATTACAGAAGTGCACTTGGAGCTTTACAATATCTAACTGACACTTGGCTAGATATTTTCCTTACTGTCAATCATCTGAGTCAATTTCTTAATAGATAACATCTGAGCATTGGAAAGACGTCAAATGCATTTTCAAATATCTTAAAGGTTTTGCTTGTACAGGTATCTTCTGTAACGCCCTCAGATTTACATACCAATTTTTCACAAATTATTAAAACCATTATCATGGTAGAAAAATTTCTACCATGATACATCCAAGACAATATACCACAGGTCTTAAAATATCTCAAAAAAGCAATTAGAACCATGAGGGACAGTCAGGATCCTCATGGCATGATATTTAAATTAGGTCATGAATCAAGAGAGACAAACATAATCCTCTTGGTCAAATAAATACTTTTAATAAAAAGGATTAGAGTTTACATGCTTCACAAAGAAGATATGTCCTAAGTTGGTACAAGATACATTGTATAATCCAAAATAAGAGGCAACGTAAAAGATGGTGTCTCATACACCATAGTTACACCTCTGGTGCTTTCTCGGCCGGACTCGCTCCTGTAAAAATGTTAACCACGGGGAATGAGACTTAAAAGTCCCAGTAACCAAAAATTAATATGTAATGATGCTTGCGGATGTAACTAATCATGCGATTGCTAAGTGGGCACACAAAACATTTAACCGAACAATACTTTCAAACAAACCGAACAAGTATTTAATTTGCATGACTGCACCTTATATCCTCCTTTCGCCATGCTCGGACGCCAAATCACCAGGCCAAAGGTGAGTTGGACCAAGCGACACGCCACTCATTGGGTTCAATGAGGGCTTACCATGTGATAATAATTAACCGAACAGAAATTTCCATTAACACCATACATTAAAATACCCTGACAAGTCATGCATCATTCAAATATCCAAACAGAAATATATCCGAACAATAATATCTCATCATGATAAACAAAAATAAATTTTTAACCCACTTGGCAATAATTTCAAACAAGTATATACAGTATTTATTTTCAATAATTCATAATTTTTCCAAACAACAAAACAACACATAACCATTCACAAACACACTCATCACAACACATTAATAATGGTTACCTTGTGTCTTGAATAACAAGTTCCCCTTCACAACTCCTTTTTCACCACTATCTTTGTCAATATAATCTACATAATTATTTCACAATACTATATATTAATTTTACATTAAAATAAATAACTCTAATTTAAAGAGTTAGAAAGTCTTAGATCTATAGTCCATATTAACACTAATTTAAGATTTATGCCTCATTTAACTTTCCAAATTCTTTTCTAAAATTCTCGTACCCTAATGAACTATTTTTTTTTATCCTCAATTCACTTCTAGTATCACAATTTCATCCTTCTATATTCTAAAAATTCATCCAAAAATAAATTAAAATTTTTAAAATTATCCTGAAGTCTCAAATCACCTTTCTATAACCTTAAAAATACTTATTCATACTTAAATAAATATTTAATAATCATAGGTTTATCCCTACGTCTCAGATTCCACATAAATTCAACCATATAGATCTAGATTTTAACTCAAAAATTCTTAAACATGAGTTTCAACCTTAAAAAAAATATTCTATAATATTTTTTTATATCCCTAAGAATTTTAACCTATATTTTTAATATATTATATCATCAGATTAACTATCCTATAGAAAAATCCTAATCAAAATATTTACTCTATCCTACAAAATAATCATATCACTAGAAAGCTAATATTATTTAGAAAATAACTACAAAATTAATTTTGTAATTAAATAAATTTTTAAATGCTAATCTAAACAGGAAAGTTAAAACATACCTGAAGAAAAAGAAAATAATCCCCCCTTGCGAGAAAACGCCGAGCAACGTGAGAGGAAGAGAGAAAAATAATATAAAAATGGAATTGTGAGTCCCAAAATTATATTAAAAAAAACTATAAGTTTGAATTTAATTATTCAAACCTTTGGGCCAAAAGTTGCAATTTTCTCTAAATTACATCTTAGCCTCTCATGCTTCCTAATGCACACACCCCCTCCTTTTTATACATGAAGGCACCTCTTCTCTTCCCTCATCTAACTAATGTGGGACTTAGAAACAACAACCTTCCACCCCCCTTTTTTTGTTCCTTCTACCTTCTCTTTTTTTTAACACATACATAAAAAAAATTATTTATGTATTATATCTTAACTAAATATTGCTTATGTGGTTTTAAATTTAAATTTTTAAATTCATAATTAAATACCTAACCATAATATTATTTCTAAATAACCTCAAATAATATAAATTTCTATTATTATTATTTTTTTTCTCAAAACCTAAATTCCATAATTTCTTTATCATATAAAAAAAAATCAAGATGTTACATCTTCCTCTCACAATTTAATCAGCTGTGTATCACTGCCTACTTAAACACAAAGTGGGTAGCTTGTCCAAATGATCAAAGGTTAGTCATAGGATACTATGTTTAGAAAGTCATTGGTTTCTTGATGTTTTAAAAAACAGCATGCAATATCTAGATCAAAGCACTGAGACTTAATATAAAGCATTGGCTAACACAGCCTCTGAGGTTGCCTGGATTTCTTCACTTTTGTCAGAACTGTGGGTTCTTAAACTTAAAACACTAGTTATATGGTGTGATAACATTAGTGTAGTTGCATTGATAGAGAATCCAGTCTATCATGCTAGAACAAAGCATATAGAGATTGGTGTTCATTATGTACGTGATTTAGTTCTTGCAAGTCAACTTCAAGTTAATTATGTCCCTTCTTATGAGCAAAATGCACATTTGTTCACCAAACCTCTATATCACCCTCAATTTACCTATCTAAATCACAAACTTTGAGTAGACATACCTTCTTGTTTGTGGGGGGAGTTAAGAATAAAGCCCAAGATATCTACTCAGGCCTAAATAATGAAGTTGATAAAGTTATTAGAACCAAGCCCACACCCTTAAAACATAATAGAAAACTTCATTCTTGGATATTTTGTTTTGTTCTTGTCTTTTGTATATGACACATGTATCATTCTCTCTCTGTGTGTGTGTGTGTGTACATGTGCGCGCGTGTTGGGGGTGCGTTGTGTGTTAGGTACTCCTCCTCCTTTTAGATTCGCCTACACTCCTTCATCTATATAACTCCACATAAACCACTCCTACAATTCGGTAAGACATTATTAGACTTATATATGATAAATTACTTGATTTTTGTAGCAAAAAAATTTTAGATCATGAATACTCCCATATGTGTGCATCAGTGTATTTGTTTAAGAGACTAAATTGAATGGAATGAAATTTAATTTTTGAGGATTGGATGATTAAAAGTCAGGCTATCTTTTAATAATCAACTCGAAGAGATTGTTTTGTGAGAATTGGATTGAGAAGTGAGGGATATCCAATTAGTGAATCGTTAATTCTCTCAAAAATATAGTTGTGTTTTTTCTTGGAAGTTTTCTTTCCCCCTTCCATTGTTCTTCAAAGGTTTACATAAGTTTTGATTCTTCCAAGTAAATATTTGTGATTGAATATTTGCAAATTGTAGTTTATTTTTAAATTTGATTCACATGCGTCGCACCTACTATATTGCAAAATATATATTTTACATCCTTCAATTTATGTCAATTTTTGTAAAAGTGACATAAAAAATAGAGACAGTGGCAATTTTATAAATAAGTATTGAATATGTAAGATTATCAATATTACTTTTTTTAAAAAAAATGACTTTGATTGTAAAAAATAAATTATTTTAAATTATTAATTTTTGAACATTTTAGACATTGCTTTCATAAAATAGTGACATGTATTATAAAAAAATAAATTTATATTAAATTATTAATTTATAAATACTTTTCACGTCATTTTTTTTAAAAAAAGACATGAATAAATTATCCACATTGTTTTTTTTTTAAAGAAATGTAGATTATAAAAAATAAATTATTTTAAATTATTAAATTTTAAATATTATCCACATGGCTTTGTTAAAAAGGCGATGAGGAGACATTAATTGTGTATTCAGGTGATATACATACACGATTAACTACTATGCAATGCCACTATAATAAAAGGAGAGGGGGCTGTTATATGAAGTTAAAAGGCATTTGAACTGTAAAAAGTAGATTAAAAAATCGAGTAAAAAAAGCGAAGTTGCTGCTTGGAGTTGAAGACAGAGGGAAGAATGAGGACGACAAAGCAAAGCAAGGGTGGATAAGATGCATGGGAAGAAGAAGCATTGTACCGGGAGGTGTGGGGTGTTTAGAAGACTTCTAGAATTAGGGGCAACATTCATGGGTTGACACATTTAGATACTCTTAATCACACACCATCCAATGTGGAAAGCGTGGTGGCTTCCACATGTAACACCGTACCCCTCCAAAACACTCGCGCGAGCGCGCACAATTACAAACTAAGCTTCTCCTGTTTTCCTTCATTCTTCATCTACCATTCTCATTTCTCTCTTGACTACCTTCGATCTGCACATGTGCAGTCCCCACACCCCATGAGTGGGACCTATTTAAAAAAAAAAAAAAAAACAAGACAGCTAGGGAGGGGAGAACGTAGCGATATCTGTGGCTGTGATTATTAAGAAAAGGGGACACGAAACTGCGGAGTGTATGCAGAAAACAAAGTTGGCAAACACGGAAAGTCCGGCCCATGTATTTATATATATCCCCCCACGTAACCATCCAACTTGGTTTTGTGTGTTGGGACACTCTGTGGCCTTCCTCCTCCCTCTCCTTCCCCTATTTATCTCTCTCCTTCTCTCTCTCTCTCCACCACCCTCAATTCATCACGCCATGGCCATCAAACGCAGCGACGCCTCTATCCCTGAGTGTTGCATGTGCGGTGATCCTGGCTTCTCTGATCAACTCTTCCAGTGCAAATTCTGTCATTTCAGATCTCAGCACAGGTTCCTTCCTCTTCTTTCTTCATCCCTCTAATCCTCCCTCTCTCCTGTCTCTTTTTTCCATTTCTTAATTAGTACTTTCCCCATTTTTTGCAGATACTGCAGTAGTCTGTTCCCCAAGGCCCGGTTCTATGCCACTTGTAATTGGTGTTTGATTCAGACCGACCCGGTCGCCGACAAGTCCCCCAATTCTTCTAATTCCTCCTCGTCTTTCAAGGATAACAGTGGCAACACCGCCGGCGAGAGCAGCAGCAAGAAGGCCAAGAACGGTATCGATCACGGTGCTCAATTTATTGGAAACAAGAGGGCAATCCAACTGAGCAAACCCGTCATCAGGAAACAGAGATCGCCGGAGGTGAAGTCCCCACCTCCCACATCGCCGCCGGTATTGGTTTCGACCCGCAAGAGGATCATCACGAACGGCGATCTGGAGGAAAGGCCGAGGAGGAGCAAATCGGAGGATAAGACCAACAGAAATGGGATCACAAAACAGGTTTTCAGGAACAAGGTCAGAAGATATAAGCTTTTAGAAGAGGTCATCAGTTAAATTCCATGAACAGTGTTTTATCAGAGAAGAATACAGAAAAACCTCCACGATTCCTGTTCTCTTGTGGGTTTTTCTCAATACTTTTGCCCCCATAATACAATGTACAGAAACACAGTTATAGATCAAAAAATGGCCAAAATTAGCAAGAGAAAGTAGGACCCAATCAATGTGTGAGAATAGCAGTGTTTGCAATAAACGGGACGGCATCTTCTTTGGAAAGGAGAGAAAGCAAAGCATGAAATAGCAAAAATGGTAAGCATGAATGAGAGAGTGATGGGAATAATTAAGGTGTGGGGCTGGAAGTAGAACTGAGAGTGAAGAGAAGGAAAACGAAGGAAGGGACGTGTGCGGGAGGATTGCCCAGGAAACACGTCTTTGCATGAGAAAAAGTGGGGAGAGGGTTTTCGTGAAGTCGGTGGAAGCATCTAACCCGAAAACGCGCTCTGAACTCGGCCCTTTGGGCCTTCCGTTCATCATTCGAGTTGACGACACGCAGAATCAATCAGTCACTGACTCGGAGCTTCTGTTCATCTTCACACCAGTCGCTGCGATTCCATATATGCTTAATCATGCTTTTGCCGTTGGAGAATATTTGCGTGTTTTTGATTTGAGGCATGAGTGGAGATTGCTCCGATTCCTAGGAAACGATATTGTAATAATAAGCATGTCTCTCAAGGCCAGGGATTCTGTGGAATAAGTTGACTCGGCAATGTGCGTGTTGAAAACGATCCATTTACCTTTTCGTCTTTTCCTTTTCTCTCTCTCTTTTTTTTTAAACCTTTTTTGGGCTTCAGAAATTCCACGGCATGTAGTGATGTAAAATCTCTCATTAAGTGCATCTTACAAGCCATTTTTAACTATTTTATCAAAATTAAGGATTGCAGTTAACAAATTAAATATATGTTAAAATTATTTTTTTCAATTTTATATCTATTGAAAATTAGGAAAAAAAATATACAAGATATGATAAGACAAACTAATAAATTTATAAGAGAGATAACATTAGAAAATAGTACTACCAGTGAGATCGGGATCGGGATCGGGGGAGTACATTATATCTGTTTTTGCTCAATCAACTTCGATTGGTACCCCATAAATTTTGCGATAATCTCACATGAACGTGTAAGTTGGAACTATTCAATCCCTGCTTCGTGCGACATTGGGATATTTAAATTATACTCCCTCCATTTTTATTTGTAAAAATAAAAAATTGTATCACATAATTTAAAAAAATTCGTTAATTATGTTAATTGTGTTTGAAAATAAAAGAATTAGACTACAATATCCTTCATTAATTGTGCTAATTAAGTTTTCATTAATTGTTTCTTATGACTATGAATAATAAAATTATGAAAGATAATTTTAAAAATTTATAATAAATGTTTATTAAAAAATATAATTTTATTTATATAAAAAATAAATTAAAAGTAATAGTTTCTTTGGTAAATGAAAACAGAAGGAGTGGTAAATAGTTGCATGGAAATTAAGTGAAGGTTATTCGCCAGTTGCCAAACAAGCGTATGGATTGCCATTATTGCATATCAAATATCAATGCTGGTCAGTGTCGTGCTCGTGCTGATCATGACTTGGCGACTGTACGATTATTTGCTTTGGATTTTAATTTGTAATAGTACTCCAGGTTTCAAATGAATAATTAGTTTAGCATAATTATATCATTTTAATATTTTAACGAAGCATTCATTATTTTTATAGGAAACAACGAGGCAGTGTATAGATATAGATTTGCCACCATTCATTGAAGAGTAGCTCATGACCTGGTTGCTGGTCGGCCCAGTTTATTTCACGAATAAGAAATTGCATTTTTTTAAAAAAAAATCAAAGGTAAAAATAATCTGATTTAAAATATGAACGATGTTATTGATGTCCTTAAGTAAATGCCCTTTTATCCGAAACAAAAAGGGAAAACACGTCCTTCTGACCAATTTATGGGTAAAGAGTATGGTAATGATTTTAAAATAACCACCAAGAAACTGTATCATAGAGACAATGGTTAAATAATTAGGAGGCATAAATTTGTCGAGCGTCAAACCTGCAGGTGATAGCAGGAGCATACACAAATGTTAATTGGAGATTTATTTATTTGCGGGTGCAGGAGGAACAAGGAGTAGGCGATCTTAATGTTGGTGGTGATGATAGAGGGCTCGTTAGCGAAATAAGAGAGACCTGTGAGATGGACCGCCCAATCATTGTGCATTGAGTGACGTGTTGTGGGAATGAAGAAGGGGAATGGCAGAAGATGTAATAATGAAGAAGGCGGGGGGTGTTGTAGGAAGGAAAATGCGTTATTTACTGACAGAGTACGGACATGCCTGGCCTTTCATATGGAATCACGTCGTGTCCGGTCCTGTCATTTGCCCTCGTGATGCTCCCATTTTACAACCTGCCGAGTCCTCACCACGGCTCTGGCTCCCCTTCCAAACATTCATCCCATTCTTTCTATATCATCAATATTCTATTTTCTTCCAAAATTACATTACATCTATGATCTATGATTAAATTTTATTAGGGTATCCCCTTCCCTTCCTTTTTTCTATCTACATTTCATGGATTGAAGAAGGGACCCATTAGTAGTTCCTCTCCCGCCCAGTGTCCCCTTGCGCACAGAAGCTTTATTATTATTATTTTAAAAACCATGGGAATGTTTGAGAGCTCACATGTTGCTTTCAAAAATTAATTTTTCCTTTTCTTTTTCTTTCGAAGCCCGAGAGAGAGAGGGAGAGAGAGATTGGGTGTAGCAAATATATGTACAGAGTTGTCACCTGAAATGGACCCTCAAGGCCTCAACCTTCCCTCTGGAACTCAGAGGCCCAACATTTGGTCCTCGGAGTGATGGGAATGTAGGAATGACAGCAGGGACGGTGAGGGCCAATGGTAAGCCTCCAACACTAAACCCATCACAAAATAAAAAGGGTTGCACCCACCGACCGCATTAATGCCATGACATGGCGTGATTAGACCTTGAGCGCCGACTCACTGCCCATAATGCATGCTTAATCTCGTTTTTTTTTTTTTTTTGGTCTATTCCCGCTTTCAACCTCCACACTGTTTTCCTCTACAACCCTTTTTCGTGACACCTCCAATACCTTCCAGATGGGGTTATTGTCAAACGGCACATCACCAAAACGACATGTCCTGCTCGTTCAATAATCATCCTATATCGTCCAACCTCAAAAGTTCTATCGCTTCCTCCCCATGTTTTTTTTTTAAAAAAAAAATCGATCTTCCCCGCATGTTTTATATATTACTCCCTCGTTTTTCAATGTAGAAGCTATATCATTAATTCAGATTGAGAAATTTAGATAAATTAATAATTAATAATTATTCTATAACCAATATGTATCAATTTTTCATCACTCATAGAGTATTTTACCACTTATTGTTATAATAATGGTTTTATAAGCATTAAATGAGACCATGTTTTTATATTTTTGTTGCATTTCTTAACTGTATATTTAATAACCTTAAAAAAAAAATATAATGAAAATGAGTAAGTTGGGAGAGGTTTGCCTATTACTTTTAATATTTCATCAAGAGATCATCTCCCCAATGAGCACCATGATACTCATCATGGTGATGAAATTTGAATCATTTAAATTTTAATATAAACATAATTTATTTTTATTAAAATAAAAATTTTAATAAATTTACTTTGTCACTAATTTGGATAATATATATTTAATTTGGATGGTCCAACTAAAAATAATAAATTTTTATAATTATTATGAATTAACTATCCAGATGTATTTTAAACAGCCTACATTTAATATTAATTTTTTTAAATTTTATTTTGATGAACTTCATATTAAAAATAAAACTAATCTCCAAAGTGACACTTCAAAAAAAATTTAAAAAAAAGCTGTGAGTTAAAATTTTAAATTTAAATTGTCTAGAGCATATATGTTTAGCCAATTTATAAAAATTTTAAAATTTTTAATATTAAATTGAACCATTCAAATTAAATATATGTTGTCCAGCTGGAATGGTAATAAAGTAGATTTTTTTTAGAATTTTAAAAGTTTTTTTTAAATAAAAATAAAATTATAACCTTTAAATCTAAAATGTTTATATTAAAATTCAAACAGTCCAAATTTCATCACCCTCGTACATGAGCATTGAAATTCGTTGCCATATCAACATGCAGTATCACATTGATTGATCATCATCTCTCTCTCTCACACGAACGATCTGAAAAGTTTGTTCGCGTTCCTCCCCGTAAAATCAAATATTTTAGGCATGTAATTTTATTGGTTTTGATTGATCACACGAACTAATCATTCCTAGGGACATGCATTTATTATTGCCTACACCAGAAAGGGCCAACTGCCCAGGACTAATTACTAAAAGTGTTACGGTAACATGACGATATCATGAGTTGGAAATAATGGAAGCATGAATATTTATAATTATTATTTATAGGTATCTTTTCGTTGAAAATAATCTAATTTGAAATACGAATTATGTACTAAATGTAAACACTCTTTCCAGTGAAAATTCGAACGTTGGTTGTGGGATAATTCAGCCATGATTCGACAGGTTAATATATGAAACTGCCGTGGATAAGTAGGTTTGATTGATTCAAATTAAGCAGGGACGAACTATTGGCGAGTGTAATAAATCAAGGACCCACAGGTAGAGAAGTTGTTTCGAGAATGAAATCGCTTACTTAGGACACTGTCAGGTTTTCAGGTAGCTTCTTCAGTGCAGAAGTGCACCTAACTTGTTGGATGGACTAGCTATGGCATATGGGGAAAGTCCAAGTGATTGTGTAGAGTGGCTCTGAGGATTGCGAGAGATCCAAAGGGCCATACCGTCAACAGGAAACTGAGTCAAGGGAACGGAAGGCTCAAAGTTCCAAAACTAAAGCACCCACCATATTGGCAGATTCTCAGCCACGCCACTGTAGATTCTCTGTCCCTACTCACTCTGTGACACCACCGCACCGATCCCACCTCACTACCATTTCCTAGCAAAAAATATTAAAATAATGATTCGGACCATAATACAATCACTTTTTGTTTCATTATTATTACTGTGCATCTTAATATTATCCTTTCCCCTTTCTTTGTCCCTGGGTCATGCTTTTACTCCCCATGTGTGTTTTGCGTTTATACTTTACATTGAAAGAAAGCAAGACGTGTGAGATGTTTCCAGTTATTTAAGGAACGAATACCACTATGACATCACGGTTTCGCAGCTGATTCTCTCTCCCTCTCTTATTTGTACTCAATCAAATTTTAAAGCTCAAGTGGTCGACTATTAACACGTAGTTACTGCTCGTGCGTGCCAATTAATAATATCGAGCTATAATTAGTCAATTATATTCCTCTGCCCAATTATGTTGTAATATCTATATGTCCTAATGGATGACTTTACCCATGCTGGGAGCAATTCGGTTGATTGAGATGTCCCTACCTACATGTATTTCGATGGCGGGCATTGTGAAAATCACGTATATTAAATCATTATTTGCTCGCGATTTCAAATCTGGGCATCAAGGTTCAAACAATAGTCAATGAAGATTAGGTTAATTAATTAATAATTGTCAAAGGCGAGACTACGCCACCAATCACTACTTTTTTCTTGGATGGTAGCCATTTAAATTTTTATTTAGATTACTCGATGACAAAGAACGAAGCTCCATTTCAAATTACTATAAAGCACCCAAAAAAAAGGCTTAGTAATTTTGTTTTTATAAGTGAAGAACAGCATGTGCAAGTTTTTTTATATTCCACGTAATTTTTTTAATTCTCTTAATCCCTATATTTTATTTATTAGTTCTGTGTAATTTTTTTTGCTCTTTTTTTTTGCATTTTTAATGGTGAGTGAATTTTCAAAAAAGGTACAATTTTGTGAAAGTTATAAATCAGTGTTTATCTTGTGTGATTGGAGAAAATGATGCTTCATTTCAATTAATGTAAAGCAAGAAAAAGAGAGAAAGAAAAGAAAAAGAAGGCTTGATGTTCGCAAAGAAAAGAGAAAAAGGGGCCAAGGGAGAGAACACGGAGAAGAAAGAAGGAAAGTAAAAAAGACTTTTGGTCCAATGAATGACACTAGGGTTCATTAATTTAATTAAAGAAAAGTGGGAGCACAAATATGCCGGATCGAGAACTGAGCACGCCTTTGCATGTAGGAAACATTAAAATATCAGAAAGCAAAATTCAAAAGATGCGGGCGTCCCGACTCCGATTCAATTCACATCTTCCTCCCCAAAGCTGTAAATCATTTATTTACGACTTTCGAACCTCTTAACTCTCCCGTTCCAGTCATGTCTCCCTCGTTCATCTCTCACCCCTTCCCTTTATCGCACGAATCTGCCTACCCACCTCAATAATCATGGGCTTCCTCTCTTGCAACGCTGAAACTGCAATTGCCACCTGTGATTCCCACTACTGGGACCTCAAGAAGAAGAACTCCAATAGAACCAGCAGAAGAACCCAGAAGCATAAGCTCCCAGAGATCAGGGAGTTTCGCTACTCGGAGATCCTCGCTGCCACTGGCGGATTCTCCGCAGACAGCTTCCTGGGAAAAGGCAGCCATGGCAGTGTCTACAGAGCAACCCTCGACGACGGCAAGCTCGTCGCCGCGGTCAAAAGAACAAAGTTCTCCAAGTCCCGGGTCACAAACCTCCGCAACCACTCCACCAACTGCACCGGCTGTGCTAGCTGTACGAGCCCCGCAGAGAACGAGATCGAGATTCTCTCCCAGGTTGGAAATCCTCGCCGCTTCGTCAACCTCATTGGATTCTGCACCGACTCCAACGGCAATCAGCTAATTGTCGTTGAATACATGCTCAACGGCTCTCTCTACGATGCCTTGCACTCCACCGCCAGACCGCCCAGTTGGAGCCGGCGGGTTCGGTTCGCTCTGCAGGTTGCCAAAGCCGTGCTGGCCCTTCACTCGTCGAATCCCCCGGTGATTCACCGGGACATAAAGTCGTCCAACGTCCTGATCGACGAGAAGGGGAAGGCGAGGCTGGGCGATTTCGGTCTGGCATTGAGGGGACACGTAGAGGACGTCCGGATGAAATGCACGCCACCCGCGGGGACGATGGGATACCTGGACCCATGCTACCTGGCTCCCGGGGACCTGAGCACAAAGAGCGACGTGTTCAGCTTCGGGATCCTGTTGCTCGAGATTATCAGCGGCAGGAACGCCATCGATTTGAATTACAGCCCGCCCTCCGTGGTGGACTGGGCCGTGCCCCTGATAAAGCGCGGGGAGTTTCTCGGAATCTGTGACCGGCGAATCGGGAGGCCGTCAGACATGGCGGTTATAAGGCATCTGGGGACGCTGGCGGCGAGGTGCGTGAGGTCGACGGCTGAGAAGAGGCCGTCGATGAGGGAGGCGGTGGAGTGGCTGGAACAAGTGAGGAAGAGGGCGGAGGCGACGCCCCTATGGAGAGGCCTGAGGCGGCGGGAGGAGAATAGCCAGGAATTGGGCGATCGGAGCGAGGAAGTGGGAAGAATAGTGAGAGGGGGAAGCAGAAGGAACGGGAAAGTGTCGAGCGTGGGCAGTGTGGAGCAAGAGAACGAGAGGAGTGAAGCTTGCAATGCAGTGTCCAGGTCGAGATCAATGCCGAATGGGAATGCGGGGGGCACTGCGAGGAGGTTGTACAGATCAAGGTCCATGTCCACGGAGGGTTTTGCAAAGTTCACTTCACGGCCTGGATTACACGAGCCGCAAGAGCAGCAGCCACTTCACAGCCAGCTAGATTAACAACCAAGCACGTTTTTAATTAGTGATACGGCTAGTATTAATCCTCCAAATTAATTAATTGGACACATTATGAATCTGCAGCAGGGCCTTGCATCTATTTCCCGGGCCATGCCGCGACAGCATCAGCGTTTGTGCTAGTACCTTGGAATACACCCTGATTGTTAATTGTACGTACCTTGGTTGAGCTTCATGTGTGCATATTTATGAATGCCATGATGGTCAACGTGGAGGGATGGTCCCTCTCGGCCGGGGCGGTGACGCTGACATCGTCATCAATCATCAATGCATACTACGTGAATCTCTCACGCATCTAACATGTATTGCCTTTCCTTGTATAAATAAATAGAGAAGTGAAGACCAAACAGACCGACCTCGTCTGTGTATGTCTTTTTTCAAAAAATGGAGAACGTCATGACTCTCTTCAATAAAAATCACGGGACGATCACGACTGATTTTGTATCTGATGTTTTCCGTGGATGGGAATCGCTACATTCATTTCTCAGCGTTCTGCATTCATCAGTAGATTAAATGGACTTTTAGTTAACAAATAAATTAGGCCAATTTCCCTTCTGAATGGCAATCGCGCGGCGATGTCGTCCCGTTATTCTTATTTCTGCACATTGCTGCATGTATCTGCTCTTTTATTTTTAGTTAGTAATTCCGTATAAGCATCTTAACCCACTTCACGTTATCCTTGCCTTTGCTTGCTGCCTCAACATTAATCTTCCATTTACACTTCACCAGAACAGAGGCCAATCTTCTAATTTACATTTGAGAGTGTTATACTATAGACTGGCAATCATTGAGTTTAGATTAATGGACAGGATTAACAATAAAAAATTTGTAAAAAGAAAAGAAATAAATATGGAAGGATCACATGCAGTAGGCACGTGGCTATGAATCTCAATTTTAGTGGGGCGCCTCCGTTATTGGCGCCTTCAAGTTTCTCAAGAGTCAAAATGTCAATGAACCTTCCAGCTTTATGTTTTCTTCCTCCCTCCAATTTTTTTCTTTTTCATCTTTTTTGTTTTTGGGTTTGTTAAGATGTCGTGCATGTGAATGGGTCTCGTGTTAAGAAGTTATGAGGGTGGGCGCTAACTGACAGGAAGACAGGCCCAGTTAATTGGACTCGTAAGGCCATTTTAACTCGTCGGTGGACTGAGGAGTGAAGATTGGTCGACGAGACTCTGGGCCTGCTTAGAGATTGTATGTCGCCCGATGTTGTCCGGAAAAAAGTTATGCGGAAGGGTAGAGCATAAGTAGATTAATTAGTGATATGTATTGTTCTTTATATTCTCAGTCAATAGAAAAAATGGTTAATGATTTTTTTTATCCCTCAACTTTATCTGATGAGTCACTAGAAATTATAAGTTTAATTATGGATCAATTCTATCCTGCAATATTAAAGATTCTTTCTTTCATCACCTTAATGTTAAAAAGATTTAACTTTAGATAGTTATCAGTGGGTTCCATTATTTTTAAAATATTTTTTATCTAGTTAAGGGTATGTTTGTCTCTCAACTTTTATTTGAATGATTAGTAAACATCCTTAACTCAAATATTTTATAACAACAATGAGAAAATGACAAGGAGTTTTAAAGTTGAGATAAAATTGATTCATAGTTAAGTTTAGAAATCCCTAGTGACTTTTCGAGTAAAATTGATGAGCAAGAGTAACCCTTAATAATAAAAAAAATGCTTGTTATAAAGCTAAGCAACTAGAAAATAAAGATATTGAGAGGAGAAATAGAGACAAGAGAATGAGAGAATTCCTTATGAATTATTTTGTCCTTTAATACAAATTACATGCCTTATTTATAGGCATGGTCTTACACATTAAAGGTTACACAAATAATAAAAGTAAATAAAGGGTGATCAACTCTCATGATGGTGAGAGTTTTATAGGAGGGCAATCAACTCTCATGATGGTAGGAGTTTCATGAGAGAAGATATAGATGAAGAGGTGATGAAAATGGACATCTACTATCCTTAAAATATTCATAACACTCCTTCTTGGATATTCATTATATAAAAATGTGCCTCATTAAAAACTTCAATTAGGAAAAACCCTCTGGTAAAAAACTAGCAAAAGAAAAAAGTACATTATTCATTGATACGCTATTCAATGCTACCTCATTAAAAACCTTACTAGAAAAATTCAATGGAAAAAAACCTTAAACAAGAAAAAAAGAGTACAGCGCGTATTAACTCTCCTTCTTAACAACATCAATTGATATCTTTTAGTATGTAAAGTCTAATATCATGAACAAGCTTTTCAAATATTTTAGCAGGAAGTGACTTGGTGAACATATCAGCTAAATTTTCTTTGAAACGAGTTTGATGGATATTAATTTCACCATTCTTTTGAAGATCGTGCGTGGAAAAAAAATTGGTGAAATATGTTTCATTCTATCCCTTTAATATACCCTTCTTTCAATTAGGCAATACAAGCAGTATTATCTTCATATATGATCGTCGGGATCATTTTATTAAAAGACAAACAACAAGTAGCTCGTATGTGATGGATTAATGATTTTAACCACACACATTCTCGACTTGCGTGTTATATACAACTAAAATTTCTGTATGATTAGATGATGTGGTTGACAATGTCTGTTTTATGGATCGTCATGAAATGGTCGTGCTACCATATATGAATAAATAACCTGTCTGTGATATACCAACATGAAGATCGCATAAAAATCCATCATCTGCATAACTAATAAGGTTAGCTTTAGGTACTTTGAAATAAAATAATCCCATATTTATAGTACCATTAAGATAATGAAAAATATGCTTGACACCATTCCGATACCTTTATGATGGTGAAGAACTGTATCTTGCTAAGAAGTTAATAGCAAATGAGATATCAGGTCGCATGTGACTAGCAAGATACATTAGTGCTCCAATTGTACTAAGATATGGTATTTCTGGACCAAGTAGTTTTTCATCATCTTTTCGAGGTCTAAAAGAATCTTTATCTACTTTCAGTGATCTTACAACTATTGGGGTACATAACGGATGTAATCTATTCATACAAAATCATTTTTAAGACTTTTATTGTATAAGTTTCTTGATATAAAAAATTTCATTATTCATATATTCCATTTGCAATCCAAGAAAAAATTTTATTCTTCCTAAATCTTTTATTTTAAATTCTTTCTTTAAGCAATTTATAGCTTTTGAAAGCTCTTTAGGTGTTCCAATGATATTTATGTCATCAACATAAACAACAATTATAACAAACTCTTTTCCAAATCTTTTCATAAAAATACAAGGACAAATTGGATAATTTTTATATCCTTCTTTCAACAGTTATTCACTAAGTCTATTATATTACATATGCCCTGATTGTTTCAATCCATATAAGGATTTATTTAACTTGATTGAATAATTTTCTCAAGAATTTGAATTGTATGCTTTTGGAAATTTGAATCGTTCAAGGATTTATAATTTCATGCTTTTACCAAGTGAACCATACAAATAAGCTGTAACAACATCCATTAGACACAAATCAAATCCTTCACTTATTGCTAAGCTAATTAAATATCAAAAAGTAGTTGCATCCACCACTGGTGAGTATGTTTCAACAAAATCAATTTCAAGCCTTTGTGTAAATCCTTGAGCCACAAGTTCTGCCTCATACCTTACAATTTCACCATTTTTATTTCTTTTTCACATAAAAATTCATTTATATCAAATTGGCTTGACACCTTCAGATGTATGGACTACTAAAATCATTTCACTTTTCAAGTGATTTTAATTCTACCTCAATTAAGTCTTTCTATTTTGGCCAATCATCTCTTTGTTTGCATTTCTTAATGCACTTTGGTTCATGATCCTCATTATTATTTATTACATCAAGCGCTACATTATATGCAAAAATATCGTCAATGTTGACTTCATTCTGGTCCTATTGTATTTCATTCATAATATAATTTATTGAGATCTCATTATTTTCACACATTTCAGGTACCTGAGTTTATTTTAGAATTGAAATATTAGTAGTGTCAAGTGACTCTTTGTGAGTTACTTACTCTTCTTGATTATCCTTGATCTAACCATCTATGTTTGTAGCTCCTTTTCTTTTTTTTTTTGAAGAATTTTATCTTTAAAATCAGTGGGCCTTCCATGTTTTATGTATGGTTTAAAATCATTTGCAATAACAGGCTGTCTAACTAGGACATTAATTCTAATTGGAGCATTAGCAGTTAGAATATGTGATTTAGTTACTTTCTTTGTGTCAATAAATGCACCTGGTAAAATTTTATAAATAAATTATCTTTTAAACTTCTAGTTTACATTGCTTTATACGAGAACCAAGATAAGATAATGATAATTCATTCTAACTAATTTTTTTTTCAACTACTTATTTTTTTCTCCCTAATATTGGGAAAACTGATTTATCAAAATGACAATCAGTAAATCAAGTAGTAAATAAATCTACTGTTGATAGTTCTAAATATTTAATTATAGATGGAGCTTCATACCTAACATATATTCCTATCCTTCTTTGTGGACCCATCATAGTACGTTGTCATAGAGCAATTGGAACATATACTGCACATTAAAAAATTTTTAGATGGGAAATATTAGGTTCCTGACCAAAGACTAATTCTAAAAGGGAACTCTTAAGATAACTTGTTGGTTCTTAGGATAACTTGTTGGTCTGATATGAATTAATGATGCTGCATGTAAAATTGTATGTAGAAATTGAAAGATTCGATCACATAAGTAATAGTCGTGCAACAATTGTAAGCATTTAATTAGTGATTCTATAGGTCCATTTTGTGTATGAACATATGCTACAGGATGTTCAACATCAATTCTAAAAGACATGCAATATTCATTAAAAACTTGTGAAGTAAATTCACCAGCATTATCTAAACATATTTTTTTAATGGGATAATCAAGAAAGTGTGCTCTTAATCTAATAAGTTGAGCAAGCAATCTTGCAAATGCCAAGTTACGAGAAGATAACAAGCAAATATGCGACCATTTTGTTGATGCATCAATTAAAACCATAAAGTACTAAATGATCCGCATGATGGGTGTATAGACCTACAAATATCACCTTGTATGCGTTCTAAAAATATGAGAGACTCATTTTCTATTTTTGTTGGTGATGGTCGAATAATTAACTTTCCTTCAAAACATGCAACACATGAAAAATCATGGGATTGTGGAATCTATTGACCTTTCAATGAATGTATGCATGATTTTTTGATTATCTTTCACATCATAATTGACCCAAGATGGCCTAACCAGTCATGCTATACACATTAAATTTACTACCATTTGCAAACTTCTGGTTTACAATAGCATATATTTCAATTGTATTAATAAATATGTAATACAAGGTAGAGGAAAAGATATGTAATTTTTCTAGTGTGCACTTTTTACAAGAAATTAAATTCATGATAATAAGATATTTTTTATTTTCTTCATTTGTTGTCTCAATATGGTATCCATTTTTGTGAATATCCTTAAAACTCAATAAATTTCTACTAGACTTAGTAGAATAAAATGCACCATCAATGTGCAATTTAGTTCCTCCAGGCAACAATATATTAGTCCTTTGAAAGCTATCAATCATCTTTATACTTTCGAATATAATTTGAACATTGGCTTCTTGCATTACCAAAGAAGAATTTTTTTTTTGAATATTGTATGAGTTGTTACACTATCAATGAGATACATATCTCCATTATTGTTGTTGGTACCAATCAAAGGAATACTCATTCTTCACTAAAAAAATAAAAATGTATAATTAAAACATGAAATACAAAAACTTTATTCATTGAAAAATAACAACATCATAAGTAAGTTCTCTAAAAAAATATTATAAGTAAATTATGTATTCCAATGTAAGAAAATTAAAATGACACTTAACTATAAAATTTAACAACATCAATATCTAAAAAATTTATTTCTGAACATTTTCATCCCTAATTAGGTGATTAATTCTTCCATTAGGATCGGCAAAGAAATCAACAACATCCAAATGAGTAACATCCATGTCGTTATAATCAGAATCACCTTTTTCAAAAGCAAAATGTATTTCTATCTTTGCCCCTTTGTTTTTACTTTTATTTTTAATTGATTCTTGATAAAGATCAATCAAACGTTTTAGAGTATGATAGGTACGTGACTAATGACCTTTACCACCACAATGGTAACACAAATTTTTGGTATTATTATTATTATTATCCCCACTCATTCCTTTCTTATGTTTCTCTTCATTGTTTGTCTACTTTTGGTGAAAAGATGTACTAGCACAACCATGACCACGACCTCGTCCATAGCTATGGCCACGACCACAGCTATAACCCCAAGCTGATTCATTTGGCACTACATTTACTTCAAGGAAGGGGGTAGAACCAATTAGACAAGATTCAAGATTTTTCATCAAAAGCTCGTTATTTTGTTCAACCACAGAAGACAAGAAATCAATTCAAAATATTTTTTAAAAGCTTTTTCATAATATTGTTGTTGTAAGAGCACGTTAGATGCATGAAATGTGAAGAATGTTTTTTCTAGCGTATCATCATTAGTGACTTTTTTCTGTATAATTTCAATTGAGAACTGATTCTAAAAATTGCAGAGTTATATTCACTCATAGATTTAAAATCTTATAAATGTAAATGCATCCAATCATAATGAGCTTTTGAAAGAATTATAGTTTTCTGATAGTCATACCTTTCTTTTAAACTATTCCAAAGAACAAAGGGTCTTTTATAGTCAGATACTCAGTTTTCAACTCTTCATGTGAATAGTGATAAAGAAAGATTATGACCTTGGCCTTATTTTGATTGGATGCTTGATTACCATCTTTAATTGTGTCTCCAAGACCATTGACATCTAGATGGATTTTCACATCTAATACCTAAGATAGATAATTTTTTTCAATAATGTCAAGAGCCACAAGCTCAAGTTTTGAAAAATTCGACATATAGATGCTATAATAAAAATATGACAAGAGTTAGATGATATTTAAGATTAAACAAGATTAAAAAGATCAAATGGTTAGAAAATAGATCAAATCATATATGAACATAAAAGTTACCTTGCAATAAGAAACCTTGCTACAAAATCTGTGGATTACTAGAGTTCTCATGTTGATAACTTGTTATAAAATTAAGCAACTAGAAAATAAAGATATTGAGAGAAGAAATATAGACAAGAGAATAAAAGAATTTCTTATAAATTATTGTGTCATCCAATACAAATTACATGCTCTATTTATAGGCATGGTCTTATACATCAAAGGTTACGTGAATAATAAAAGCAAATAAAGGGTAATCAACTTTCATAATGGTGGGAGTTTCATTGGAAGGCAATGAACTCTCATGATGGTGGGATTTTCATGGGAGAAGATGAAGATGGACATCCACTATCCTTATAATATTCATGACAATATTATCATAGTCATTTTGTTCAGGATTACATAACACCCACCCATACATATATAAATTAATTGGACTCTTAATACATTAAAAATTGTTATAATATAATTTTTGCAATATTGTTTGGAATCGAGAGAGAATAGGGGAGAATCTGAGATCATGACTCGTGAGAATTTAATTAGGCCTATTTGGTATATTTGAAGGCTTTTTGACGGAATGGGAATAAGAAACAGGAATAGACTTTGAAAGCATGCTTGGCATATATATCAGGGAGGAAAAATAAAAGTCTAATACAATTTTTTTTTGTAGGGTTTTTGAATATATGAAAGATATACCCATTGAGGCCACCCAAAAAAAAAAGGACAATAAATTACTTGTCGTCTGAAGAAAAATGGGACACGAAGTTTAGCTTGAGAATATAGTCGCATGCTATACATCAAATGGCCCAGTTTCATTATTCCTATTCTATTATTCGGGTTTCCAGGGCCTGGTTAGTTTAGGCACAAGGAGTTTTTCGGGCGTAACACCAGTGCGGCAGTGCCCTTATAATTTTAATCATCATTGAAACGTGGGAGAAGAAAGAGGGATGACGAAGACGCAAAGTGAAGTGTTGAGGTTACGTTGTTATGAAGCAGGTGTGGCGCAAGGGGAGAAAGGAACTGGGAGGAGATAAAAAGACAAAGCAGAGAAAGAAAAGGAAAAGGAAAAGGAAAAGGAAAAGGGAGGGATAGACAAAACGGGACACGCAAGTAAGTGGAAGGAGAGGGAGAGGTGAGGGAAGAGAGCAAGAATAGAATGAGGGGCACATGGATGAATTATGCTTGTCTTGCTCTAAAACACAAAATTTGGAATACTACCAAATTCTGGCTAACCCAAAATCGCTAATGGACAACTACCCTCATCATAACCAGAGACTATACAGTCACGTGGCTGTCATACGCAAATTACAAGGAATACCACCACCTAGGATACGCGAATACTCCCTCCAATTCACCAAAATGCCCTCCATAAATGTATTCGTGACTCAAGTGATTAAAGCGAAGACGGGGAACATATTACAGCCTTACAAGACAGCACTAGTGTATTACAGTTCATAAATAAACCTTGTGAACTGAATCTTGTGGCCTCTGTGAGAGAGGCCAGAGGGAGGGGACCCCCGGGCGCAGTGAAATGAATGAACAATAGAATGCGCTTCCACTTTGATATGTGCATTATATGAGCATCAAAAAGGCTGTCATCATCCAAAGCATGGAAATGGAAAAACCAACCTCTCAGAGCCTGAGCCCCCACTCCCTCGTCTTGTCCTTTTCATTTTCCTTTTCTACTTTCACTTCTCTTTTTTTAACCCCGCTGTCACTCGCTCATTTACCACCACCAATCCCACTCGCCTCTCTCTATCTCCAACGGATCATTTTGCTCCTTCACCTGTCAGAATTTGATTCTTTTCGTATTTTGATCTTCTTCGTCGCTGTGCGTGAATGTGTATATATGCACACCCCGATCATTTATATCAGCGCAGCGGGCAATGAGTGGAGCAATGAAGTAGAGTGGAGTGCAGCTGCAAGCTGCAGAATCAAATCGCTGCGTGTTGAAGGAAGTGTAGTTCTGGTTTCATGGCCTTTGGTGACCGTCCCTAATACAACCACGTGGCTTTCCTTCCATATCACTCCTCCTCCTCCTCCTCCTCCTACTCCTCATATAATTCACCACATGGTTCCTCTTACTCCGCTGTTGTTTCCTTTTTCTTAACCAGCTATTATTAATTCAACATATTCTGTCACTTCAATGTCATGCTCGTGCATACATGTACAACTTGCACGACACTTCGACTTGGTCATTAAGGTACATATTGTATCGGCCGGTGCCGTGCATCTATAATATTTTATAGTTTCCGAGACCTGGAACCGTGACAAAGAGAACTGAAGTCAGATATGCGCGATCGTACTACACATACAGATAAATTGCTCGCCTGCCATGTATTAGAGTTTGGTGGTGAACGGAAAAGAGTGTGTGTGTGTGTGTGTGATGCATGCGGCGTGGGAAATTTTCGCCTGAAGTTTCTAAAGATGCGACCAAATCATGCCTCGGTTCTTCCTACGAATTATTTCCATCATGTGTCCCTGGGTCGCCCTTTGTCTCCAACAATAATGCTTCTCATAATTGCTTCCTCTACTTGCTGTATATATTCACACAGCAGAATCATGCATCATGCATCTTGTTGTTTTCCATGATTTTCTTTGTTTTTTTATTATATAGAGCCAAGTTTGAATACAGACTCCGTGTAAATCAATGCATGTATCCGATAATTTATTTTTCTAAATATATAGCTAGTCGGTACCATTAATTAACATCTAAACAAACACATATGATATGATAATACATAGAAAGTTTCTGATCATATATACTTTAGCCCTTAAATTTTGGGTGATTTTATTTAGAAATGGAAAGCCATCAGGTGAGAATGAAACATATTGGAATATGTATTCGTTAGCAGGCAGGCAAAACTCATAACTCGAGTCCTTATTAAGAGATATGAAGAAAATACACATGGATAAAATGGCATGGGAAGAGAATGCCCATGCCTAAATGGGAGATAGGCATGGGGGGTTGGGTTGGTTGAGAAGATAATGCGTCGGGAAAAGCTGACTGTCTACATCACATGGAAGCCCCCCCGGAGGATGACAGCAAGGAAGTTCATGGTAATTTTGCATGAACCGTGAGAGTTACCTCACCGTACCCAATTTTACCAACCCTCACGACAGCCACGAAATTTAAAAAAAAGAAAAGAAAGAAAGAAAAGAAAGAAAGTTGACCCCAATCAAAAACCCCCCAGGACCAGACCGGGGCTGACGTCACCTCCTGTCGGAGGAGGAGGCCACGTCCTCAGCTCCCACAAATGCCGACACACACCCACCCCCCTTCATTTCTCCCATCCAACTCTCTCGCTTGTCCTTTCCTAATCCTATGTTTCTCCCTACCTACGTTTAATTCCGTCACGGTGCCGTGTTTTGGATTAATAGATATGTCCACGCAAATGTGTGCTTGTATAATTAAACCCTAATCAATCTCTCTCTCTCTCCCCACACAATCCAGGGAGTGAGTGTGCAAATTCAATACAAGCAGAAAAAGAGAAGGGGTCAAAGTAAAAAAGTAAACGTAAGATCAGAGAGACTCACACGCATTGAATGGAAAGTATTTGAAAGCCTTTCGAGAGAATGACCCCCCTCCCTCCCTCTGCAGCCTGGGAAAATATTCATGACCACATCCTCTTCCTCTCTCTCTCTCTCTCTCTCTCTCTCTCTCTCTCATGTCCTCCTTCTGTCTCAAACATATATATTTTAATCATTACTACCACTCTTGTTTCAATTAACATCGCTGCCCCTGCCTTGCTTCTTCAATATAATTGTGGCCCTTTTGTTTTAATTATAGTAGGATTAGAAGCAGCGAGTGAAGACTAAATATACGCCTTTTTATAAATACATTCTTACATATTTTCCCCCCGGGGTGAAACTGCTTCTCTTTGGGTCACCGGTCGTGTAGATCTTCCCCTCTCGGAAGCACAAAGCAGATTACAAGACGTCCCCAACATTCCGAGACCAAATTAAAACAGGTGGAGCCGGATATGGAATTTGAGGAGCACGAAGAGCAGGAGGACGACATCGAGATCCCCGTGTCGCCTCCTGCTTACAACTCCCTGGCCAACAACTCTGTCGCCAGGTCCAAAGTAGGCGTCTCCGGAGGAGAGGGCGGTGCCTCCGCCGTCACGACTGGCCTTAAAGCTGAGCCGGCGGCGGCGGCCAGGTACCGAGAATGCCAAAAGAACCACGCCGTAAGCCTCGGTGCACACGCTGTCGATGGCTGCGGAGAGTTCATCGCCGCGGGAGAGGAAGGCACGCTCGACGCCCTAAAATGCGCCGCCTGTAACTGCCACCGCAATTTCCACCGTAAGGAGATGGACGGTGGGGACTTGACCCAGTATCAGCCGCCGCCGCCGCCGCCGTACTACCAGTACCACCAGCAGTACCCACCGTACCATCGGGCGCCTCCGCCAGCTGCTGGGTACCTCCACCACCACCTGACGGCTCAGCCGATGGCGCTGCAGCGGTCGTTGGCCCTGCCGGCTCCGGCTCCGATTAGAGATGAGGAGGACATGTCGAATCCGAGCAGCAGCGGAGGCGGGGGAGGGAAGAAAAGGCACAGGACGAAGTTCACGCAGGAGCAGAAAGAGAAGATGCTGGCATTCGCGGAGCGTGTTGGGTGGAGGATCCAGAAGCACGATGAAGGTGCGGTGGAGCAATTCTGTGCGGAGACTTGTGTCAAGAGACATGTGCTTAAGGTTTGGATGCACAATAACAAGAACACTCTTGGTAAGAAACCCTAATTTCGATTCCTTGCTTTTTCCACTTTCCATTCTTAGGTCAAGATGGTTGGTGTGGGCACTTTTTGTTACCACGATCCTCTCTATTCTAATTAGAAAAGCTGGAGTTTAGTATCATAGAGGTGAGAGAAGAGGAGAGTTAAAAAGAATGGGGAAAATTTGTACTCTCAAGTTATAATGGACTTCTTGCTATAGGGTTCCTCCTTATTTCTCCTTCTCAAGTTCGTTTCGATCGGATATGATTTCCGTTTTGATATCATCCAATTCTGAACACTGATGAACAACATCATTCAGAGTGCAGTAGCTCGGCATCTTAGCTTGAGGAGGAGTTTATATTATTCACAAACAGTACTTAACATGAAATTTTACAGTAATTAATGAACAAAAGAAGGCAACTTGAATTATTGATATATTTAGAGAAGAATATACATGGTGCGGAAGTACATATACCATTTCAAATTAAGTTAATTTCATGTAATGTAGAAGCAGTTCTAGAACTTGCTTCTTGTTCGCTGACATATGTCATGTTTAACTGCTTTTCATCTTTCTCACCAACTCATACTTTTAGTCCTTTCTTTTTCACACTCGCAATGATTTAGGAATTCTTCTGGGTGAGAACGAAACTGAAAAAACACGAACTATTTTAAAGAGATTTCTGATCCAAGAGAGATACCATTTTATCCTTTCGGCACAATTCTCGCTTGATCATATGTACTGCTTGTTGAAGAATAGATACCTCGTCCTCCATTGATTGTTCGAAAGACTTTCAGTTATTGACCTCTCTTTTCTGTGCTGGGTCGCTGTTGCTTTATTTGTAGTCTGAAAAAGAGAAGGGCTCTTAAATTTTATGCTTTTGAATATCATATTCCTGCGGATGTTTGATTGGCGGGGGGTGTGAAAATATAGAAAGAAATGAAAGAAGAGGTGAAGTTAACAAATAACAAGGAGTGGATATTCACGCGGCAAAGTCGTACACTGTTTATCTGCACCGCCACACAGACACAGTCTTGCAGATGTTCAGACTCTTCTGATTATGATGAACCCCCTTCTTAATGCTCCCCCTTTTGCTTTATTTTAAAAATATGTAAATATATCTCCAACCATTGATTCATTTTAATTACCTTCTGAATTAAAATAACTGCCAAAATGTCTCAGTCAATGTTAACTTGTTCAAATTCTCTCAAATTAACTGTCAACTGCACATTTCATTTATTTTAAAGAAAAGGCTTTCTTTTTGTCTATCAAATAAAAAGCTGTGAACCACACATATGAAAGAGCCAGCGCCCTCTAGCATTTTCATGCATTTAATTTGCTAATATATATTTATGAACTTTTACATCAGACTTTAATAATGCCCAGGTATAATTTTACTGACTTAGAAATTAGCACCTGAAAAATTATATTTTTGAATAAAAATCCGTACTTCGTTTGCACAAAAAGGGGGGGAGAAAAAGTGCCCAAAACAAGTGTAAGTGTGAGCTCCATGAATAGAAATTATAGGAGAAACGAATGTAACTACAGGAAAATGAGGTGACGATAGGGCAAAGTGTCCAAGGTATTGTTTGTTTTTAGCTAATGAATCATAATTGAAGGGTTATATGATGCGTTATTGCGGGTTTTCTTTGTTTCGTCGTAGAGTATATCAGGAGAGGGACATTTAGCAACAAATTAATGACCCGCAGGAAGGGGCAGGATTAGGTTTAGGGATGTTGTTATTGCATATTAGGCAGTGGGCCCCTCCTCTCTCTCTCTCTCTCTCTCTCTCTCTCTCTCTCTCTCTCTCTGTGAGCGTGAAGTTCGGTTGAAGTTGAAATGAAGGAGCAGGAGGGGGTTGTCTGTTTCTTCTGTCTGAGCTGTTTTGTTAATTAGGTATCAATCCAGACAAGACCATCATCATCTGTGGCATATGCATGGTTTCTAGTTAGCCACACAACTTCTTCCTCTCATTTCTTTTTTTACAAATTTTATCCCCATGTAGCCCTTCCTTTTCCCCATAAAAGAGAAGAAGAAGAAGATACACAAATATCAATGCTAGGATCTCTTTCAAGCGAGAAAAGTCAGTGTTGTCATTGAAATAGCTTGCCGTTGACAACTTTCTCTCATCGCATTCACTACTCCATCCCCCCGCCAAAATTTTAATATATATATATATATATATTATGACATATTTAGTGATATGCAGGTTACTGTATATAAGCATCCATTCCAATGGAACCGATATGTTGAGTTTAACATGTAGGATGTTTTAGAATGATGATGTGATGCCTGCATGCGCGCATGAGTGATCTCATTCGGCACTCCCACGCATAAACAGTTGCAAATTGCTAGTTAACTATTACAGCCATATACGTAGCTGCACCATCTAATTAATTAACGATATATTAACGGTTGTCTCACCCACAATGAATCTCAGGATCGTATTTGGTACATGTTCATATATTTGGTTAAACTGGTGGGGGGTTTGGCGATACATAATATACCTCGTTAAAATTTAAGGTACACGTACGGTGAACAGCTCACAAGTGGAAGCTATCATTAATAGCGATGCACGAACCCCCAAAAAAAATCATAATATATCATCTTCCACCCAAATTACTGCTAAACAAGCAAGTCATGAGCATTTTGGAGCATTTTAATAAGTTTGTAAATCACTATGGGAGGTGAAATATATAGAGTCGCTTCTTGACTGAAGATTTGTTTACCGTTATTTCTCATTTAAAATTAGAACTGGAAATAAATTACTCTGTTATAGATATATTCTCTGGGATAATGACATGATGCTATCAACATTAAAAATTTAATAAAACTTTTATTTCTAAATACATGCATTGCTTTCTAATCGTACCAAAGCCGGCGATACCGGGTTTTATTTTACACTCGGTAACCAGAAAGAGCTAACACCAATCAAAGTAAGAGGCATCGTTCTGCAAGAGAAGTTACACGTCAGACAAAAGATCATCAGAGGAAGAATATCAAAACGGAGAAGATGGCAGATAACGAGAGGGACGCGGTACGTTAAATCTAATACTCCAACCAAACAAAAAATAATTCAAAATGAAATAATACGTTTACATATATATATATATATATATATATATATATATGACCAATGGCACTAGAATATCTAGCTTGGATAATGTTACTCTAGGCATGTTTTGCGGGAATTCAAAACTGGCGGCAAAGTGATCCAAAAATCATGACACCTGGAAGCACACCCTCGTTTCGACTCTTGTTGAGGTTGATTCAAACGAAAGTTTTCGAGTTCACCAGCACAACATTGTTAAAAAGGATAGACGCTTTCTGGTGAACTAAAACAAAAGCAAGTAATGGAAATTAGTAACGGTACCGAAACTGAAAATCGTGTGACGGAAGGTGATTGAGCTGTGTCATGGATTGGATTAGGCTTGGATTGCAAATTTGGGGAGCTAACATTAACTGTGATAGTTGCTAGGCAGACAGGCGTGCTGGGTTGATCAGAGAATGGGCCAAGACGGGCCCATCTCGGTATGTGATTGTGGGCCTAAAAGGTAATGTCAGAAAGAGTTGGGCCATGCATGTCAGAACTATTACGTAAACAGGCCTTCGCCTGAGTAAACGCCGGAAGTTAGTGGGGAAGGAACCAACCATCTCACTCCTTTCATTGTTTTTAATGAATCTCAGAAAAAGGACAACCACTTTTTCCTGCCTCCAACTGTCTACCGGCGGGGGGTTCGGTTTTATCTTTGATTCAAATCCAACCCACGATAAAAAAAGCAAACAGTTCCCAGTGTCCCCCCTTCAATAATATTTTTAAAAAAAAAATAACATGCACGAGCAATGATAAATATGAAAACATTTTTCTTGAAAAAATGACTGCCCTCTTCAGTTTTCCCCCCTTCACCTGTCTCTTTCTGTTTGAAAAAAAAAAAAATTAGATAGACACTATCTTAGAAACGGAATCAAACACATTATCTTAGAAATTATAAACAATTAGAACCCATGATTTTCCATTTAAGAAAGAGTTTGCATGTCACTGGATTATAAAACTCTAGACCCATGCCAGTCCTTTAAAACATGAGTCCATTGTCAATTTAATTTATGAACTTCATTCATCTTCTATGATCGTGGGTTTAATTTAAGGGAGGAATTGCACGGTAGACCTTAAAAGAGTAAAAATTACAATGTAGACCTAATATATTATGTTATTGTATTGCAGGCCTAAGGGGCCTTATTGCAATTTTTTGTAAGCGAAAGTATAATTTTGCCCTTATGTGATGTAAAAACTCAGATAATGTACAATACAATGTCCATCGATACACAACATAATATCCATGCATGTCTAATTGATCAATAAGTTTAATAAAATATACAAGTGACATAAATAATATATGACACAATGTTCATAAATGCAAACCACGGTATTGATGCATTCTCAATAAAATGTCTATGCATAATGTCCAAGCATGGACATTTTGTTGAGAATGCATTGACATCATGTTGTGCATCCAAAGATATCGTGTTATACATTTACGGATATTGTGTTGTACATGCTCTACGTGACTTTATTTTAATTAACCTATAAATTAATTAGACATGCATAACATTATGTTAAAAATTTATGAATATTGTATTGTGTATCCATGAACATTGTGTCATATATGCTTTGTGTGATGTATATTTTAACCCACAGATCAACTAGACACATGTGGACATCACGTTGTGCATTCATGGACATTATATTGTACATAATTTGAGTTTTTAAATCACAAAATTGTAAAATTATATTTTCACTCCTAAAAAAATTGCAACAAGCTAAGAGCCCTTATGCCTGCAATGAAATATCAGAACGTATTAAGTCAAAAGTGAAATTTTTTATTGTTTTAGGACCTATACTATAATTCTAGAGGAAGAAAATTCCCATATGATAGAAATCCTCTGGATTATTATTATTATTTATGTACATGGGAGCAAAAGATAAGTGGTGACTTGAGGTTTTCAGTTGATCATTTCATACGCTAAGATATCAAAGCATAACTTTTTTCCAAAACAAAGACAATTTTATCGATGCTCTATCTATGCCATAATATAGCTTCATATTAACTAACTCACTTTTTTTTAAAAAAAAAGTTGGTTGATATTTTAATTTCTTAAAAGTGTTCACATTTTTTATTTATATTCTTAAGTAGAATATTTAAACCATCCTCATTAATTACATTAATTTTTTTCTACAAATTATTGTTTTTATAATTCACTCCTAATGTCATGATGACAAGAAATAGTGTTAAGTTTTAAAAAATTTAAAAATGGTGGTTGTGGCAGAAAAAGTGAAAAAAGGTTTTTTGT